AAACTTTGAACCCTCTGTGGTTCCACAACGTGAGGTCAAAAGTCTACATTTGGGATCTTGAGATTCTTTTCTTTAAAAAAAAAAAAAATCCTACCAAGGAAGATAAATTATGAAAATAGTGCTACATTTTTTTTCTTAGAAAATATAACAGCAACAGATGACATCAAAATTTCAGCCGTCTAATCCTCTTTCATTCTGTCATTGAAGCTGAAAGGTTTCGTGATCGGTTTTTTGAAGCATTTGCAGGTGCAGCGCTTTGCAAAAAATAATTTAAACGCCTTTAACTTTTCCTGTTTGGTTACATTGCAGCCAAAAAAAAAATACATGAATTCAAATTTAACTTGTTTTAGCAGGTAGCCAGCTTGCATCTGGATAATATGTACTAGTTGGAAACATGTTTTTCTGAAACGCATAGGTATGGTTACGTCATTTTCAACGTAAACTTGTGTAATAATATTCCTCAAAGCATTACATAGTGAAATAATATTGCAATAAAACTATTTAACATTAGTTCCACTTTTAAAATTAATATTTTATTATTATCTATAATAGTTTATTTGACATTATTATTGTTACAAGAATGAGATAGTTAATACTATGGGCACATATGAAATCAAATGTCAAATAAAATACATTAAACAAAAAATATTTCTCGTTTTGCAGCTTTCTGACTTACATTTCAATGGCATGCATTTTTTCCACAGACTAACACCAACAACAATAATAGCTTTCTTTAAAGAAAATCCAACCATTCATTTTGCTTTGTGGCAGCAAGAAAAATTGCAGAAGGAAAACATCCGTTAAAGCTTAGATTACTGCTGTCTGCACTGAAGAGTGTCTGCTAAGCTAACGCCACTAACGAACTTCGACAAAGAAAGGGCTTGTGGGTCCTGATTGACATGCCAATGCACTGCAGAGCATTATGGGATTTGTGGTATTAACAGTGCCAGCTCTCGAACATATTTGGCCAATTTTTGTTTCATCACCTTGTTGTTGTTTTGTTATATTCCTTTATGTCTTGCCATACTCCATTCGGTTCCCTGTATTCATTATTGTTCATAAGGTCTTGCCATAGAAGGTCATTCTTTGTATCTACTTTTTTAATTTACTCTAACATTTGTTTTTTTGTGATTTTGCATTTTGCTCTCTTAGATCAGTGTTACTCTTTCCCCCCTGCTTAGATGTTTCTATGAGTTTTAGTTCAACCTGTAGGTGTTTATCGTTCACCTTCCCTCAGTCTGCCTCTTCTTTCTCCCTTCTTCAGCTGTTCCCAGTTAACTGATTGCCTCAGCTGCTTCTATTGTCATTCTTTTCCTCAGTATTCCAGCTCTCTTTCTCCTTTTCTTTGTCCTTTGCTGATTCCTCCTGTCTCGTGATCAGTCTTTTATTACTTTTACTTACTTTGTGTGTGTGTCCTTGTGTGTTGTAAGTTCTGTTCCTTTGTTTGTTATTGTTCTGATTTGCGACGGTCAATCTCTACGCTTTGGTCATCTTCAAACCTCAAATAAATTTCCATATACTCAGGTCTGATATTTTGGTGCTTGTGTTAACAATATAAGAACAAAAACGCAGTAGTTACAGTTATATCTACCTTTAATCACCTTGTATATATTTCTAATATTAATGTATTCAGTAAAAAAAACAGTAAACCTGGATAGCTGATGTAGTTTTTGCATGATCTTAAAAAGACATTTTAAAAAATGTCCTTTTGTTCTCCAACAAAGATGAAACATTTTCATTATTACATGTTGTTCTCATATTCCCACTGAATGAAGCCTCTGGGCCAAAAACGTATAATATTTAGGAAAACAAATAAAACCATTTTCTGTTTTAAACCAGTTGACACAGTTTCTTGCTGTTAATACTACAGAAAAATGTCACCAAAAGAGCCTCACCACACTAATACCAGACCACGGTATTTAATAGACATTACTCTCTTTGGAAAATAAAGAAATCCGAAACAACTTGCAATTTTGTTTGCTACCACATGGTGGCGATAAATCCTAGCTAATCAAGCGGACCTTTTGAGATGAATCTTGAAGCATAAACGTATTCAGCGGAATTAAATTAAATTAAATCAGCCTTCTTCGCATTAATTAACACAATTATAAAACTATTTAAAGTTAAAACTATTGTAAAAACGTTTTTATGTGAGCCACGCTGTAACATTTTAAAGATAGATAGGATCTGATTGGCAAGAGTAAAGATCAGATAACATCAGTGAAAACTAGATTGAGCTCTTATCTGGCAACACCTTTAACAGGTAAGTCTACCTGCATGAAGAACTGGGTCCAAATAATTCAACTTGACCGCACTGACACGTGCAGCTACTGTAAACAGTGTATTGGTGTTATAATAATAAATGCGCTCTGGTGCCTCTATTTAGGACATGTGATGCCATTTTTTTTTCGTCTTCTGTGACGCATAAAATGTCTAATAGGGGCATCAACAAGAAAGTTGAGTCTGTTTATAACATTACAGGACATCTGCTACAATATTACTCACCACTGCTGCTTGTTGTTTTTCTTATTTCAATGCAGCCTTCTACCAAATCATAAAAGGAATGTATTATAAAGAGTCAAGACACGCAAAAGTTTGTCTTTAAAGCAATAAAAGTGGATGTCATTATTATTAGTAGTAGTCTAGTGGTAGTAGTATTTTTATTTTATTTTACTCTCTTTTTTTTTTAATTCATTAGTGCGGTGTAATGTCCGCCACCATCCGTCATTAACCTGGCTGTCCAGCAGCGGCTCTGTCAAACAGCGAACAGCCCGTCAGACGGGCGGAAGTGAGGGGCCCAGGGAACATAGGGTCCCGGGGCCACCGCTGCTGGCCAATGAGAAGCGAGAATGTAAACGCTATTACAAAACGGAGGCTGCGTGAAGCTGCTGAGGAACAGATAGATGTCCGCCAGGAAATGGAACTTTCAAAATAAGAGCCCGAGACAACCCGTTTCACTCACAGAACGAGATATTCATACTAATCACAGACTTTGCCGTAGTGATCTTTTAATTGGGCTTTTATTTAGAAAAGCCGCCTCATACGTCTTCCGGTGGGGCTTCTGTTTAGCCTGACGGCTGTTCTCTGAGAGCCGGAGGGGCGGCAGTCAGTCAGTCAGACAGTGAAAGTGAAGGCGGAGACCAGCCCAGCGCCGAAAACTCAGCCTCTTCTGGATCGCGTTCAACTCCCCCCTAAAAAAAAAAAAAAAAAAAAAAAAAACCCCACCAAAAAACTGAGACCTGAAGAGGAAGGAAAACAAGAAAAAAAAAAAGACGAGGTGCTCCTAACTTCTTTTCACCTCTGTCTGCCAAGAACTGTCTTCCGGTGTTGACTTTTTGTTGTTGTTGTTGTTGCACCGCAAGAGAAAAGGGGCTCCAAACAAAGTTGAGCGTGAGAAATGTGAAGCTACCGGCTTGTGTGTTTCCAACCAGGCTCCAGGACTCCCCCATTAATCCATGCAGTACAGTGCAATGGTACGTGAACATGGGTTATATTACTGCTTTCAAATGTTGTGATAACGCTGTGTTATGTGTAATTTCTTTTTTCATGTGATATCTTTATATGTTGTCCTTTCTGCCGCTGCGTGGTGGAGAAAGCAGCAGAAAGTTCCCTGAACTTGGCGCAGATAGCCTCCTCATTCCCTCTGGTGTGTGTGAACTTTGTGCGGACTGTTGACAGCTCTCTAGGACCCGCAGAAACACGTGTGCGGCTGCAGAGCAACAATGTTTAACTTTAGGTGCCTTTTTGTGCAAAACACAACCGTATGCATGCAAAAACATGCACACTATGTGCACGTTTCACTTGATTTTTATTAAAACCAGGGGCGCAAAGCAGGGGGGAGGGGGGGGGTTTATAGGGGGCTGTTTTCATACCGCAAAATTAGCAGAACAGGTTGTCTTAAGTGTGTAAACCTTTTAAAATATGCAATTATGTAATAAAAATAAAGGTTAGATTAGTTATTACCCCTCCTTTTTCTAGTGGCGCGCTCAGCATAAAGTGTCTATTAGAAATGGATAAAAACATAAATGTCTTGTTTTTGATCCATTCACAATTTCTAATTGGAAACCAGTTATTAAAAATGTTTTTGATTTTGTTTTAAAGTACAAAAAAAAAACCCTACATTTGAACTAAAACAGCTGAGCAAAAATGAGAATTTACTTATCTCCACTTTAAAACAATAAAAACCTGTGACTGTTATATATTTTTGACCATAGGGGGCGCAATTTCTCTTTTACACCGTGTTTTCTTTTTATTTCAACAAAACAAATATCAATAATCAAGAACATGGGAAATTATTATTTTAAACAAATTTTTGTTGCGTTTTTTAAATCTGTGACGTCACGAGGTGAAGAGTATACGTCCTCAAAACGAACTGAGGTGTAAGAATACGAGCCAGTTTCTCATTGTGGGCGATTTTTATGTTTTGAAAAACGCCCAAAAAAGAAGAAATTTTTGCTTAGAGAAATTAAAATTTGCTTTTACTGATTTATTTTATATTTCCAATAAGCAATCTATTTTTTTTTTTTTTAAAATGCATAATTTGGTTGTTTGTTACCGACTTTTACTAATTTGGTTGTAAATGATAATATTGCTAAATTATATACCACCCATATAGGGGCTTTATTTATTAAACGTAACCTACTACTTAAGAACAATAACAACAACAAAAAAAAAAAAAGTGAGTTGATTCCAAAAACCCAGACGTGCACATGAAAAGTTTGCTTCAACTTGGGAGCGATCTAAGCTGGGAAAGGAGGTTGGAAATGTGCTTTTTTTTATCCTCTGTGTGGCCGAAGCTTTGGTCCAAAGTCCCCGAAGCTCATAAAATAATTCAGCCAAAGTGAGGGGAGTAAATGAATTGTGTGCTGAAGGAGAGGAGGGAAGGTGCCGAGGGGGAGGTGGATGTGACTGAAGGAGAAGAAGGAGAGGGAGGAAGAGGAGGAGGAGGAGTAGGAGGAGGGGTGTGACTGTGTAATTACGCGAGAGAGAGAGAGAGAGAGAGAGAGGACGGGGGTTAGAAAAAAAAAAGAGGGGAGAGGAAAAAAGTTGGATCTGATTTGCTGGAATCGCGCAGGACCGACTGAAGGTGGAAGCGCTCGGTTTCATATCAGCTCTGGCTGGAAGCTTTTAGCAGGGGGCGAACCGTCCCGGCACTCTGCGCCCTGCGAAGCGCTGCGAAGCTCCGCGCAGAGAGAGAGAGAGAGAGAGAGAGAGAGAGGCAAACGGAGAGAGAGAGAGAGGGAACACGCCGTAGCGGCGGAGCACGCACAGCTCCAAGTTGCTTCTTCTACTTTTACATGCCAGCTCCTGCGTATTAAAAACACAAGTCCTATTTTTTTTTTTTCCCCTTCCGCGGTGGCGACAATCTTTGGATCGAGACTCTTCATGGATATTCTTGGATAATTTCCCTTCGGATTGCTGCTCCACACGCGTACACACGCGCACACACACACACACACACACACACACACACCGTCTCTCTTCTTGCATGGTGCGCACCGATCGGTCCAGGACGATGGAGTGATCGGAGGAATTAGTCCACCTACAATCACTTTTTCTTTCTCAGTGTGCTCAGCGCCGTCTCGACATGTATTCTCCGATTTGTCTAACTCAGGTACTCGTGTTTGTTTCTTCTCATTTCTTTTTTTTAATTGTTATTATTATTATTATTGTCTTGCTTGTTTTGTAAAGTATGTAGTTGGGGCGAGTTTTGGCACATGCAGGTTGGATACAAGGTCCTGAATCTGCAATGTTGGAAACTCTTTTTTTTATTATTAATTTTAAAAAAATGCCTGAATATAAAGGAGTTATTATTGATAAAATATTAACTCATTACTTTGGGGCTTTTATTGTAATTTATATGGTATAATTACTGCCAACACGTCAAAAACAATAACAGAGTTTGACTGTAAAATCAGACACTAATTTATTTACTTACCTCGAATAAAATGCAGGATGAACTGTAATTTATGTCGCTGCTCAGTTGTGCAAACATGGTGCATGTTTCTAAAATCATTCAAAGTTTACTTATTTTGTTCACCTGCTTTATTTAATGTCCTTAAATTAAATTACACTTGCTTGGAGTTTTTTTCTTTCTTTTTTTTCTTCCTTCCATCAGAATGCATACTTAAATCTGCAGCAGGATCATTAAAACCAATTATCCAGTGCAGAATGCAGCAGCTTTACTGTAAAAGAATAACAAACGGTGGAGTGGAGTGGAGTGGAGTGGAGTGGCGTGCCGTGCGTTGCCTCAGCAGTGCAGAACCGTCCTGAATCCAGTCATTTAACTGTTTAAATAACAAACAAATCGCTTTACAGTGACTGATTAGGCTCGTAGTTGAAATGTGGCTGGTGTTTTAAATTCAGCTGTAAAATGAATGCGCTTATAGGGCATCGGTGCCAGCTGAGCTGGAAAAAGAATCAAACAGTAATTTCCAGGCTTAAATAAACTGCTTTGAATGATTACTACAGTTGCTGTTGTGGCTCTATTTTGCAACTTTTTTATTTTTATTTTTTATTTTTTTAGTTCTTGTTCAAATTAAATCATAATATTTCAGTGAGTAGTAGAGCGGGGTTGTTTTGGAGTTGGTGTCATTGTAGCTTATAAGTTTTTTTCGAGTGTATTTTGCAGAAGTGTGAATAATTTGCTAGTTTTTCTGTAAAAAACAAAACAAAAAAAAACAACAAAAGAAATTGTCTCCACGGCGAAATGCCGTATCTTACATCAACAATGAATGAAGCTTTGGCAGTGTATCAATTTTAACACTCAAACAACAAGTTATTTCAATTCTTCTTAAAATGATCACATCACTCTAGTTGTGTAATTTTTTTTTTTTAAATCACATCTATTAGTGCTTCAGTTCTCATATTCCTGGATTTCTTAGATTCAAAGTTTTTTTTTCCTCTTATATATATAATCATATTTATTTGCCTTATGTGTGAACATGCATGCTCCCTCTTACCTCAACCTGCTGCTGTGACACCTGAATTTCCCCACCGTGTGACAATGCAGAGCATTTCTATTTGATTCCATCCTTATCTGTGTATTGAGTTAGGTTTCGATAAGCTTCCTCATTAGTTTACCTCCAATACGCACGTTTGCTCCATTTCTCTAACTTTGTCCACACGCTTCCCGTGGCTAACCCGCTCTGCCTTTACGTGTTTCCGCAGCCCCGTTCCCAGAGAAGTATGTGTTGTTATTTTTTTTTTTTTTATTCCAATTAAAAACCCCTCTTCAGTGGTGCTGGGAGAAGATAAGGCTACTTTCTCTTCAGGAAGATCACATGCACCGATAAGGTTGATTCAGCGCTTGGACAGGGGTTGCTGCAGACTGTTTTGGCTGACTCAGTGTGACTGTTTATATTTTACTTGGCATAAGTTAGTGATTGACTGAGATGCGGTTTAGTTTGTGCTTAAGAGGATTGTGCTTTTATGGCTCTAACTGAAGTGCACCGCTCAGGCCTTGGCCAAGTCATTTATCTTCACAGCTCTAGGCTTTGTTAGCCCGCTTAAAGAAAAAAAATAATAATAATAATGACTGTTGTTGAAATACTTTAAGTTGTTTCTTGAACAAGAAACATATTTTTTTTCTGTCTCTCTTTTCAGGGCATTTGGTAGGATTTCAAAGTTTACTTTCGTCGATTTTAATCGGAGGTGGCATAAAAAATAAGCTCCGATGATCATTTTTGCAAAACCCTCCAAATGGAAAGCTGCACGGTTTTCCCTCAGCGTGACATCTCGCTTTTAAAAATAACAATCTGCGGGGTTTAAAAAGCCGCTCTCCGCTTCGGCTGACGAATGATTACATCGTGCGATTTGGACGCTGAAGCAAAGTTTGACTGTGCAGAGACGATATGTGGCTTCCAGCGGCATGCAGGCACACACACACACACACACACACACACACACACTGAGAGTGGATTTCTGTGGTTTCCCATCGCCCGCTTTGCCTGACTGCCTTCAAAAAGAACAATGTGTGGTTTGACTCCTCAAAAGCCTGCTTAAACAAGAGGAGGGGGGTGGGGAGGGGGTTGGTGGGGGGGCGGTTGCTGCTTACGCTTATTAAATTTGACATTTTAATGACCTGAAAGCTAAGATAATTCCACGTTTCCGTTTCTCACCTGGAGGAGCTGCAGTTTGTGACCGGATTGTTCGCACCATCCTGACGACAAAGAGCAGGAGTTCATGGAAACCATGTCAGGATTACTGAAGTCTTACCCTTATTTAAAAAAATACAAATAAAAAATAGAATCTAAAGAGACTTGTCAAATGCAAAAAAAAAAAAAAAATTATTTGAGTTTTTGTATGAAAATGTATAAAATCAGCTGACGTGTCATTTCCTGTCTGTCCGTGAAGAAGAACCGTCTCGACATCGGACTCTGCGACTCCATCCTGTCCAGAAGCTCATCCTCTGTTCTTAGTGAGACGGGATAAGTTCACTGTGGAAGAGGGAGAGATTGATGAGCAGCCCGCAGCATGACCAGAAAATACAAAGATTTTTTTTTTTTTTTTTTTTTTCAGACTTACAGAAAAA